CGGAGCCTCCCCGGGGCAGGTGTGTGGACATGGAGCACCTGGGCGAGGGGCCGGCAGGGGTGCGTTGAGGCTGGGCCCAGGACTGGCCCGTCCCTGCCACAGGGCACCCACGTCCCTGGCCCTTCCAAGGCACGCCCCTCACTGTCTTCCCGAGTCACCCAGGCACGCCGCGCAGGCAGCAGACATACGTGCGTTGTGGCACCGCGGCCCGAGGGGCGCACGCACCTTCTTCCTGTCGTCCAGGCTCAGCCCAGGCTGGCCCAGCACAAATGACAGTTTGGCCAGGGCAGCCTCCGAGGTCATGTCAAAGCCTGACACGATGCCAGCTCCTGCCGCGGCCTGTGAGACACGGTGCTCACCACGGCCCCTGGCCCGAGGCACCGGCTCCTGCCAGTCCCAACGCGCCTCAGAGCGGGTGTGGGGCAGAGCCCTTGCCCTGGCCCCTTGGGCCAAGTCCTTGCTCCCAGGCGTGTCCCCATCGTACCATGCCAGCCGCGTAGTCTGTGGTCACAGCACCCTGGAGACAGTGGGTACAGTTGAGGATGGTCAGGCCGCGCTCAGCCGCCGCCCGCAGCTCCTGCAGTAGGTCCGGCTTGGTGGGCCCATTTCCCGAGCCGAAGGTCTCCAGGACCACGCCCTTCAGGGGGTGCTGCAGGAAGGCCCGAACCTACGGACGGGGGCAGCTTCGCTTCCCACTCCCGGAAACTCCAAGCCTGTATCGAGCCCTCCTGGTGGGCTCAGGGCCAGCTGGGCCCGCCCCGTTCTCTGTGTGGAAGCCTGTGGGCTACAGGTGCTGGGGAGAGCCGGGGACAGGGGCTGTTCCCACCACGTCCTCCCCAGGGCCGCATGTCCGCAATGCGTAAGGCCTGGGTCTCTGACCCTGGGTAGTCGGGGCAGGCGGGGTCAGGCAGGGATGCATCAGGCCCTGCCCCACGGGGGCGAGGGTCCCCTGCTGCCCTGCCCACATCCCCAGGGACAGGCCTCGGTCTCGCAGCATCTCGGAAGAG